TTTGCATATGCGTATGTAAGAGACTGCAAAAACTCGCATGCTTATCGGGAGATGTGGTGCAGAGATATTAAGCCATCAAAAGTGCTGTGGCTGAAGCGTAATCAGCAATCTAATCCAGATTGTGTGCGTTGTTTCGCGATCGGACTTCAATCCCGTCTATTGGTGAGAGAACCACACACCATGAAAAAAGAACGGAGGAGATCCATCCACAATTCCCAATTCTAGTGGATGTGCCCATCAGCAAAAACGGGGGTACACCCGTATCTCCGCCAATACTGCTCCGAATGGCATGCTCTTATATGCATTTAAAAGCTACATGATGTCTCATTTGATCCATATACAGTGCCTGGTTGTTTTCCCACCCTGCCCAGCTGTGCAACCCCTACCGTTTACGTGCGGGAACCAGCTATTGCACCCTATTCCAGCTGCAGGAACCTGCTGCTATCCACTGCTATTGATAGCTATCTTGTAGGCAGCTGCTATTGACCTAATTGGGGGGCTACAGGGCAGGGTAGGGTACCTGTATACCAGGTATTAATAGCTGGCCAGGCCAGCCACGATATGAAGCTATTAATAGCTGGACAGTATCTGACGTGAGTTATTACAACCCTGGGGATGTTCTGTCATTACAAACGGGACCTATTACAAGCTTGGGGGGCTGTTGTCATTAGGATATCTACTTATTACAGCCCTGGGAGGCTGCTGTTATTAGGATATTGACTTATTACAGGCATGGGAACTCTTTTCATTAAGATATGGCCTTATTACAAGCCTGGGGAACATTTTTCATTTGAGACGAGGCTTATTACAAAGAAGGGAACACTTTTTCATTAAGATATTAACTTATTACAGCCCTAGAGACATTCTGTCATTAGAAACGGGGCTTATTACAACTCTGGGAGGCCCCTGTTATTAGAATATAGACTTATTACAAGGCTGGGAGGTTCCTGTCATTAGAATATTGACTTATTACAGCTCTGAGGATGCTCTTTCATTAGAATTGTGACTTATTACAGCTCTGGGAACACTTTTCATTATGATATTGACTTATTACAAGGCTGGGAACACTCTTTCATTAGACTTAGGGCCTATTACAATGCCCTGGTGAGTATATAGTACAATGACAACGTGGTGGGGATTAGCAAAACGAGTTTTGCAGGTTCCTGGGGTATTGTATTACATTTGGGGTAACCACAGGTGCGCATCGCCACCCCAAGGCCTCACCACCGCGCCCATGTTCGCCCGTGTCTCCCGTGCCGCCGCTGTGTCAACGTCTGTGTCACCCCTCCATTGCCCGCGTCTCAAACTGCGCCGCCCACCCCACCCCCGCCCACTGCGCTCGCGTTCATCCACGACTCGTCACCCGTGTTAGCCCGCGCGTCGTCCACGTCTCGTGCGCGTCAACATCACCCGCGCCTCACCCGTCTCACCCGTCTCGCCCTTGCCCACGTCGCCCGTGTCTGCCTAGCACCCCTCGCCCACGTAGCCTGCTTCACCGACATCACCGCCCGCTTCACTGACGTTGCTCGCGTCACCCGCGCGCGTTCGCCCACGTCTCGCCGCCGCGTTGCCCACGTTCGCCCCTACGTTATCTGCATCTACGGTGAGCACCCCTCCACTCCGCGTCGAACCCAGCGCAAGACCGACTAACCTGTGATTCCCACTACGCTGCCCTGGGCTCGCGAACCGCGAGCTGTACACGGACGAGTTCGGGCGCGAGACACCGCGGTTAGTGAGTTTCTTTCGTGCCCGAGACTTTGATTATTCTCATGACGACGTTTAGGCCCTCGGTGTCCTCCTCATCCACCCGCCATGGGCTGGCAGCCCTAGCACTGCGCATCAGTGGCCGACAACCTGTGCCTCCGCGTGTTCTGCGCAGCACCCGAGGTGTTCTGTGCCGTCATTGTCTCGCCTCCCTCCCGTCGCCCACACTGCCCCCGTCTCTCTCGAAGCCTGCGTCTGCTGTGGCACCTACACGGCCTGTGGTGTTACTTGTACCTTTAATGTTACCCTCGTTAGTTGCAATATATCTGTTTGAGGTTCAAATTAGTATCGTGCGAGATCAGATACGAGTGGATTATGTCAATTAGTAAGAGAGCTGCTAGAATTACTGAGAATAGATGATCCACAAGACTGCTTGTACCAAATTATCACACATTAGTCACGACTAGATGGCCCAAATCTGTTAGTCCGATTAGCCATGCCATTAGGACTAATTTACTGCTGTTAGTCCTAATTAGCATTTTGGGGTTTTCCTGATGTAATGGCCGTACTCTTTTTTGCTCCGAAGCAACCTTCTGACGTCCGTTCGGTTGTCGATCACCACAGGCTGCCAGGGTTGATGTCAGCTACTGGCGTCAGAGGTCGCGTGCACGAAAATGGGGGTTGGCGACGGTGGGGTATGAGACCACAGCTGCACGGGAGCCTGGAGCGCCTGTGGACCGCACGGACCGACAACGTGGTGACGCGGGTGGGCGATGCGGGCTGACATCGCGTGCCGCGTGGTACGAGGCCACAGCTGCACGGCAGCCTGCGGCGCCTGTGGGCGGAGCAGGCCGACGTCGTGCAGAGGCTGACGGCGCACGGTGGGCAACGACGCGGGTGGGCGACGGGGGCCGGCGTTGCACGCCGTCTCGTACGAGGTCACAGCCGCACGGCAGTCTGCGGCGCCTGCGGGCGACGCAGGCCGACATCGAGCAGAGCAGACGCCGTCGTGCGTGAACAGATATGGACGTCGCGGTGGCCTACAACGCATGTGGGCGACGGAGGCTGACTTTGCGCGGCGGTCGACAACGCGAGTGGGCGACAGGGACCGGCGTCGCGCGCCGTCTAGGACGAGGCCACAGCTGCGGGGCAGTCTGCTGCACCTGTGGGCGGAGCAGGCCGGCGTCGAGCAGCCAACAACGCCCTCGCGCGTGGACGTATATGGACGGCGCGGCAGCGTACGGCGCCTGCGGGCGACGTACGCCGACATCGTGCAGCCGTACAACGCAGCAGTGGGCCGTGTAGGGCTCGAAGCGAGGGGGCTTACCTGAGGGGGCCGGTTGAGCATGGTGGGCGAAGGTTGGGTGGCCGAGGTACTCCAGAGACAAGTGGCCAATGGTCGAGGTGACCGATGGTCGAGATGGACGAGAGACGAGGGTTGGGTTGAGACCGTGGCTATGGGGAGTTTTTGCAGCGCAGAGGGGGGAACCCAATGGTGGGATTGGTGAGCTTCATTCAGCGCGAAGGACATTCAGCTGTGGGAGAGGATTGACACATTTAGCCCTGAGAATTGGATATGCTTGGCGATGTCGTCACTCACCTGATCAAATGACGACGTTGGAACTTGGACTAGGTTGCGTAGTCCTCGTCCGAGTCTATTATCACGAACGCCTGCCGCCCTGAGCTCGAAAATCCCCACCCAGCATGCTCCTCTGTGGGAGCGGGGCACGAACTCCAATGGGGCTCAGACTCTAGCTCCAGCCCAGCCTGTGCCTTGCTTCCCCGGCATTTGCGCAATGCCGGAAGAGGCGATTGTGCGCGTGGGCCGAGTCTGCAGCCGAACGTGTCCACATCAGCGCCCGCTCCTGCGCGAGCTGACGTGCGCAGCGAAGGCACGGAGGAGGAGGAGGAGGGGGCTCGCTGTGTGTCGAGATGGGCCGACGCGCAGGCGCGTGAGTTTGTTGAGGCTGCCAGAGGGGAAGGGGAGTCAGTCGGGGCGGAGGGACGGCAAGTGGGGTGGGCGTACCACCTGTCGAGGAGGTTAACACGCATCCGTGGCGAGCGCCATCGGCCCGTACGTGCACTCGTCCGCGAGAAGCGCTGAGGACCCGCCATAGCTCGCCTATAAGCGTCGGTCGATAGCCGCGAGGTGGAGGCGGACACGGAGGGGTCCGACTCGATCGATGTGTGCCTCTTCCCGGTTGATGTGTTCATGTCGCGGCCATGAGGGTGGCAATTTGGGCGTGTAGTACGAGACGGTGGCAGAGGAGGCGCCCCGAGTGACTAGCGGAGACGGCGTTCGTCTGCAGCACGGCCGCGGCGGAGGTAAGGTGGTTGGTTGCATAGGGTTAAGGAGGTGGTGGTAGGCGAAGGGAGGCGGACACGTGAGGGGCAGAGGGGTGGGCATGAGGGCGGCGGGTTGGACGCGTAGGGCGCACCCGCGCAGGTGCGTCCGATGCCACGCACGGCACATCAGCTTCCAAATGTGATGGACGGCCTGCAGTGCAAGATGGAAGGAAGTAGGGCGTGTGCGGCCACTGGCCGGTGGTACGTGGGTACTAGTTCTTGCCGCGATGTAGAGGTTGAAGACGCACGAGTGGGCGTGGTCCTGGGTAGTCCAGGTCCACATAGTAGGCTGGGGGTGCGTGACGTCACACCTAGCCCGCCAGTGTTGAACCTCGGCCGTGACGTGTTGACCCACATGTGCATTGAACCGCAGCGCACGCCCGCCCCCGCGCTTTATACCGCTCGTGCGCGTCGCGCGATAAGGTGAGCACCGACGCGCACGAGCCCCAGCTCTGCGAGCTACTGCATTGGGTGTGAGCAGGACGCTCCCTATGGTGCCGCGTGACAGTCGCTGCGAGAGTTTGGGCAGGATGTGGGAGGGAATCATGGACGATCAACTGCATCCCGAGTGAGCTCCACACCGTTCAAGTGCGCCACGTCACCTCGAGGCCACCTGAGTCTCTCTGCCCGTGGGAAGGCCTTCTTGGTCGCTGTCGCGTGGTCGATAGGGACCCGGTCGGTCCGACTCGGAGGGCGTCGGACGCATTGGAGTTGTGGGTGCTGGGGGGAGGACGAGCCGCACTAGCATTCACGCCGACAAAGGGGCCGCGACGTCGGGGTCTAGTGCTAGTCGACGGTCAAGGCGACAGGTCGGAGCCTGGTGGGCGTGTTGTTGGGGGCTCCTCTGGTTGGGCCCATGCCGCCTTGCCGCTGATTCAACCTGTGAAGTCGTTGTTAAGGTTGCTTTCAAGCCTGGTGGTTGAGACAAGCCTTACCTTTGTCCTCTTAGGCTAGTATATGAGCTTGTAGGTATGCTTGTCAAGAAAAGAGTTTACGTAGAAGGTGCTGCACGACTCCAGCACGTTGGTCGACGTCCATTCCCGGGGAGCGATGGGGCCGAAGCACGGCAGGAGCTGGCAACTTCGCTCAATCTGGGCGATAGGAACGACGTCGGCAAGCCTCGATCCATTTCGAAGCGATCGCGAGACCTTGTAAAGGCCGTGGTTGGGATCAGGACCGGCGGCGGCAAAGGGCGTGAACCATTCCACGTAGGCAAGGTGCTTCGGGACGTCAGAGCTGGGCACGTCAGGAAAGAGGTCCGTCGATTGCGGAGGCAGACGGAATATAACACGCAGTTGCGCAACGCGGAGATCTGGGCCGGCGTGTTGCTTCAGTGAGTCGTCTTCGCTGCTAGAAACAGCGACGTACCTGCAGCCCCAAGTTGACGGGGGCCGTCTTGCCCAAGAAGGCCCTGTGCGGCGGGACCAACGCGGACAAGAACGGTGTCAAACCGTTCTGGAATTACCTTCGGCACTTTCCCGCGACTAGTCCTCGTAGGTGATGCGTGGGCTGCATCCTGAGTATAGGTGTCTGGGTCCGAGGATTGATGCGGGTCTCTAAGCCAGAATTTGACCTTGTTGAAGACGCCGAGCTTAGCGAAGTTGAGGTACTGTCCGCCTGCCGCATTTTCCACTTGACGGGGGAGAAGCGTGGGGTTGTTCGTTCGAGCAATGAAGCGGCCGAGAGCGTCCCGAAAGAAAGGGGCGTGGTACAACGAGGGAATCTTGACGACAGGAACGTTGGCGGAGGGGTGCTGAGTGAGTTGGATGCGGGGTGGAGGGGATGGCGATTCCGCATTGCTCCCTTGCGCTAGTTAATTCCGTCTGAGGTCAGCAGTAGGCTGTGCATCTGTAGAGCAGGTACTTACATTCCGCCTCCTGATGCTTGAGTCGCCACTCAACGTAGTTTGAATGGTGGAGAACCTTCTCCTTACGCTCTACCCACACCGCCATCTGTGGGAGTTCATCCTTTCGGTTTGTAGCCCGCCATGCGTCCTTCGCCAAGATGATGTGGAGCCTCTCGGTGAACTGAGTATCAAAGTTATCAGTCGTGCCAAGCAGCTCAATGGAGAGGACGTAGTGGTCGAGGCCGTGTAGCTTGGGGATGTGGAAGTCGACACGAATGCCCAAATCGACGAAGACGCTCTTGTTGGCGTGGAACTCTTCCAGTGCCTCCTGAAGTAGACGTAGTGTCGATGCTGAGTGGGTTGTGTACTGTGCAAGGTAGAGGACGTCGAGGATAGCCCTGGTTGCACGGATCACTCGAAGGGGGGAGTAACCATCAGGGAGTCGAAGGTCGATGATGAGGCCGAGGAGGATCCGGCAGACGTGTGCGTGCTCCTTGCCAGAAACCCGAGACAGAATTGAGATGCCTTTGCCAAAGTGTCGAGCGTTGTGGTTGAGGGGGAGGCGGCTGCATCGAGCGTCGATCTCTTCGGACCCATAGGCAGTCTGAAGCCAAGGAATGACGTGCTTGAGAACGCCTTGATGCAGCTGATGTAGGATATCCGGGGTGATCGCCATGAAGATGTTGCAGAAAGGCAGGTTCTCCCAAAAAGGGTGAAAGATCGGCTTGATGCCAACGTCTTTGCATGCCCTGGTGTAGGCCCTTGGGCCTTGATCGAGGGTATCCAATGCGCCAAAGACTCGAGATATGTCGCGGAGAGCACAGGAGGTGTCGCAATCATCGCCAATGTCGTTGCGTGGGATTGGGCACTTCGGACACTCTCCCGTCTTGCATCCTGTGACTAGGACCTGTTCTGGGTAGTCTCCGACGTAGCTGGCAAGAATGGGATGGCCTCGTCGAGTGATGCCATCACCGCTCGTGATCGGTATGCCCTCCAGTCCTGCAGCCTGCAGTGGGGCCAGCACCTGAGCGACACAAGCGTGGAAGAGGTTGGCGAGGGATCGGCGACGAGATGCAGTGCCCTTGATATGAGTGAGCTTGGTGGTCGGGAGGTAGGCAAGCAAGATCTGGCCACGACGAGATGGCTTTGAACGGATGGACTTCGGCAGATTCCCGATGGTGAGGTAAACCGGGTAAGCCGTTTTGTTTCCGAACTGCGTGAGCTGGGTCTTGTCCGAGCTAATGATCACGGGGATTACAGTCGCACCTGGATTTAACTGCTCTAGTCGCTTCTGTGAGGTGGACGTGGGTGAGAAGAGCTGTCAACTGGCCGTTTGAAGCACATACCTGCTGCGCCCACCACCACTTCCCAGTGTTCATGTCGAAGTAAACCCTTTCCTGTCTAGAGTCGTCCGTGTAGTGCTCCTCGGGAGTAAGGAGAAGGAGAGGAGCGAACTCCGGATCACCAAATAGGGCCTTGATACACAGGAGAACGTCTCGGAAGAAGACTTCGAACTTCTCCCCACCGACCTCAATCTCGTGTCGGTGGAAAGGCGGCCTTCCAGAGGGCAGTTCTTCATCGATGAGCTGATTGAGCTCACGAGAGTTCTTGTAGGACAACTCTAGCCGTTGTGCGACCTGCAACGAGTCAGCAGAGGAAGAGATAGGTATGTGGGTACTAAACTTACCCCTTCAATAGCGAGAAGGTCGGTAAATGCTGTAGAGCCTGAACCTCGAGTCTTCGCCCACTTTGCAACGTCCCAATCCAGCCGAGAAGCAAACGGGGCAAAGGGATTCAGCGACGGAGCACCCTCCTTGATCAGAGCTTCGTAGGTGGCGTAGCCTTGATTCCACCGAGGGGCTTCTGAGACTCGAGTGCGACGAAGTGGTGCGGCAGCAGATGAGAGAGGGAACGACCAAACGTAGGTCTGCCGGTGGCCTTGAACTGTGTGCTCGGCAATGGAGCGTCGCTGTCGGGACTGAGCAGCCGGACCTGACAGCTGCACTCCCTCGGACGACGGTGGGAAGGGGCCTGAGGTCTGAGGCTCTGGGTCTATGACTCCAATTTCTTCTTCAAGCTCGGAGTCCGAGGCCACTTCCGGGTTGATGAACTGATCGAAATCGCTGGGGGAGTACTCGCCGAAGAAGTCCCCCTCAAAAGGCTGCACTGGGACTCCATCGAAAGGCTCCTTGTCGCTTTCTATGTGTATGGTCGGAGGCAGGGGAGCAAGGGTTTCAAGCAGTTGTCGGCAACGATCATCTCTTGTTCGGGCCAGGTGCTTCGACAGCCCAGAAGGAGAGAACTTTTGGCCACAGCCAGGGCAAGTAGACTGTGTTGTTCTGTCGTTGGGCATGACGGTGTTGGATGAGAGATCAGGAGGGCTAGTATCAGAGGGTTACTGTGGGTCCAGCAACGGGCGTCGTCGGGAGCGGAGGGGCAGGGCAGGGCAGCCGGGGATATGCCAAGTCTGGGAGGGTTAGGGAATCGGGATACAGGTCCAGTGAGCTGGGTGCCAGGTCCGAAAGGGTTTGGGGGCTGGGGAGTCAAGAAGAAGTCGAGTGGGGAGTCTGGGGAGTTGCACAACGGCCGGTCCAGTTGGGAGTCACGGTGACAGATGGTGTGTATCGGGGAGATGGGTGTGTAGTAGACCGGGGAGATGGCGTATCGGGGAGATGACTGAAATCACGTCCTATCCAACGGCTGGTGGCTGGAAAGAGAACGTATCAGAGCGGAGCTTAGAATCTAGATGAACCGGATAAACACGCCACCTTTTGATCCCAGGCGTTCAAGATCGTTTTGTCTTAATACGACTGAGACGGGAATAACGTTTGCATCTGTGAACGTTCAAGCCCATTTAAAAGTCAGCAAAAAGCCCGCTACTGGCTGTGAGGGCACGTACGTGGCAGCCCGCTGACCGTCATCCACAACCCCCATTCCCCATCCATCCCTCTATCCCTATCGTCAGCCCTTGCTACGCCTAGCCTTCGCAATGGCAGGCTCTACTCGACGCTCATCTGCCCGTCAGAAGAAAATTGCAATGAGTTCCGCACTGGATGCGTCGAACCTGGCAGGTAGCAAAACTCGCCAAGCTGAAGTTGTAAATGAAGGAGGTAAGCCCGGTCAGTCATATACAAAGTCGTTCCACATTCAACCCACCCACCCGTGTCTGGACATGGATTTCCCCATCTAGTCGGGAACCAGAGCGGTGAAAGACCATCCGCATCATCTGAACTTCCTCCTCGTGGAGCCAAGGCCAAAGCCCTTGTCAACAAAGGTGAGCCTTTCAAAATTGGTGGCAGGAATGCTGCTAGATGACGACATTAACTGACTTCGGATGCTTTAAGTATGGACATTGGACGCACCTGCTACAAGGAACAGGGGCCAGAAGCGGGCTCTTCCAGACGAAGCCGCTGACCAGTGCGCCTCAATCCCTGCCAATCATTGGGTGACTCAATCTCAATCTCGACCGAAACCCAGACGCAGGAACCAAGGTGGTGAAGCTGTCGTGACACAACCAAAAGGCGTCAGCTCCAATGCGGAAGTGAGGTTCCTTCACGGTACGCAACTGTTTCAGAGCGCCAGTAAACAGTTTGTGACATGTTAGATCCCGGTAACAGGCGCCAAACGCAGCCAGTCCCGTGGTGCTGTTGCCTCTGCCGACGGTGATATAACACTTGGTAACTCGGAGCGATCTTCAAAGCGTCAGAAGAAGCAATCCGGACATCAGCTCCCTGGTAAGCAGTAACATTTTGGAAGGAAAAAGTTACACATACTGAACACTTGAATATGTCCCCCCAGACGACCTCGACTCCGAAGATGTTGAAGAGGTCCCCAAACGAGTCCACCTGTCTGGAAGCGACGGAGATCAATCAGCATCTTCTGAAGATGACGTGGGGGCCAATGACAACTGGGCTGAACTCACTGCGGAGGTACTTCATTATCGCTACCTTAAAATCTCATCCAGCCTGATAGCGCTCACTGTAGAAAGCTGCGTGGTCCGATGAAGATGATGCTAAGACCCAAGTTGGATCAGGTGTCAAGGGGAAAGGTAAAACCAGACATACTTGTGGACAACAACTACGCTGATAAACGTCTACCGGCGGTAGGTCGACAGACCTACATAACTCTCGACGACCTCCAAGAGTCGTCCATATCCGGCTCCGACTTCCAGCCAGACGGGTCGGAGGACCATGAGTCGTCTGCTGAGAGTTCCGAGGTTGAGGTCTTCGATCCGGACACTGGGGTTGAGGCTTTCGATCCCGATAGTGACCCATACCAGATGATGGGCCCTGACGAGGACGCCTGGATGACTGACGAAGAGTACACCCATGAGCAGATCGTGGCGAACTTGGCCAAGGATGAGGAGAGGCGGAAGGCGGACGCTGTCCAACGTCGTAAGGCTGAGAAAGAAAAGGTGCGGCTTTTCGGAGGTTCTTAATGTGCATTCTCACCTTGAGTGCGTTTTAGGAGCGCATCCGTCATGAGAAGGCGAAAAAGGAAGCTGAGGTAAGCATCTCCGTCTCCGAGAAAGTTGTCTCCCACCGCCCAGCCTCCCGGCCCTCCTCTCCTCTCCTCCCTCTCCCATCCCTCCTGCTGCCACTCCTCTCTCTCCCTCCCACCCTGTTGCGATAACCATCCCTCCCCAGGAACCTCTCTGGCTCGATGTTCCTCCCAAGAAGTCGTCTTCATCTCAAGCGGGCAACCCCTCCAACAAACGCCGAGCTGCGGCTGCTTCCACATCAGGAAAACCCTCACTTGCAAATTTGCTATAATTAGTGCTGGTATGCAGCAAATCAGCGCAATTAGCGCAAATTAGCATGTTAGGGCAAATTAGTGTAGTCACCCACTTACAAAGGGTGTTTGCTGATCGTTTGCGAAGACTTTGCACTAATATGCACTCAACTAGCTGAAGATAGATGCACTTTAGATCTTAAGAGCACTAAATAGTGACCGCAATCCACTCAATAGATCACTCAAGCGAAAAGGAGAAGCAAAGAAAATTATATTCGCAATACTACAATGTACAGACCAAAACTAACGACACTAACACTATGTACGGAGGCGTGCATCCACGTGGGCAAAGCATGGGCAGTAAGGGTGACATGGGCGACGTGGATGACGACACAGTGGGAGGCGGGGCCGAGGTCGTAGTCGTCCGGGAACGCTACGCTCCCCTGCAACGCCGTCCATGCGGGTGCGTGGACGTGCTTCGGCGGCGGCAGGACTGGGGGTGGGTGTGGGTGCGGGTGCGGTGGGCATCTCCGTGAGCGCGCTGTCCGGGAGGGAGACATCCGACGCGGACACGCTGGGGCTCATCGAGAGCTCGGGGGTGTCGAGGTCGAGCGACACTGCACTCGTGCTGGATGGTGACCGGCGGCGTGCTGGGGGGCGCGCGGGCTGGCCATACGGCGACGAGGAGGATCACGACTGGCGACACGCGGGCATAGACGCGGGAGCCGACGGGACGCGCGCGTGCGGACTCGACGTGCTCGCCCGCGCTGTCGTGTGGGACGGAGACCGGGACGGTGGGAGGGAGGGGGAGGCGTGCGCGCGCCGTCCATGTTCTTCGACGCGCGGCCTGCGCGGGTGCGGCCGACCGCCGCTTGTGCTCCGTCGCGCGCACCAGCATCGAGCCCAAGGCGCGCTGTTGATCGCAGTCGACCGTGTGAGTGGCATGTCGAGTGAGGTGCACGCAATGCCACTCTGTGTGGGCGCGTTCATGCAGAGCTCGCGCAGGTCGTCAGGACCACAAGGCCCGAGAGAGTCTGGCAAAAGACGCACCTTCGTCACCCATCACGGAGGATTTTGTATCACACACGCACCTTGCGAAGTTCGATGGTGCAACCATAGGATAAAGTGAGTGGGCATTGCAAGTCTTCGTGTGCATTATTCCTGCTGGCAGTGGGCGCGCTGTCGCCGAGCAGGACAAAGATGCGCACCTGGATGCCTTCACACGCGCGTGACCATCGCGGCGCAGGCCTCCGTCTCCTTCGCGGCCGAATCGGCTCCCACTAGGGGTCGGACACAGGCGCAGACGTGGGCACCGGGAGTGAAGGATCAACGAGACGCGATGAGAGGGTAGAAGGGTGCACATGGGGAAAAGAGGACGAACCTTTGGCCAGCTTGGGTGGCTTGAGTGGTCCAGAGGTGAGGCGGCGTGGCTGAGGCGGGGGAAGAGGGAGAGAAAGCGAATGCGGACGAAAGGACGCGCTGGCAGCTGGCGTTGCTCCCCCACTGACGCGTGGGAACCGACGCGCGTCGCGTCGACTCCAGCGCTTGGCACGGCCAGCACTGCGCATCATCAATGCATCATTTCGATGTCGTCTTTCTCTTCCTCTGCTCACCTCCTCCACCGTCCCATCTCGCCCTCACACACGTATATGCACGGCACACCGGTGAGGGCCCGCCGCGCCCCCGCAATCCACCTTCCTCGATTTCCACAAGCTCGAAGTCGCCCTCTCCCCCACAGTCGAGAGCTCTCCGTCAAGTGGTACGTCCACTGCATCCTTGGCTCCGCATTCAGCCCCATCCTCAAGGGCCTCATTGTCTGCCTCCTCAACACCCTCTACGAGCCCATCCACGCCACCCAAGCAATCGTGGACGCACTTGCGTGGGATGTCGCACGCCACGCGGACGTTCTTCGCTGACACCGGTCTCCCCATCTGGCCTCCATCGACGCCGCGACCGCGGACGGGATGCTCCCACAGCAGCTGCAGGGCCCGCGTGGCCGCTCCTCATCGCCCAGCCGCGCTGACTACCACATGCGCGGGCGCGCGGCCACATCGGCGGTGGTGGATTTCCTGCGACCAACGACTAGGGTCAACGCATCTGCCGTCAATATGGACTCGCCGGCCGCTATGAGGACAGCAAGTGCGTCGAGAAGTGGGGTCCTGGTCCCATGGGCCCCGGCACCGTCTGCGATCGGTAAGCAACCGCCGCTGCATCATCCTCACGTCTTTCTCCTGACACGTTCCGCAGATGCCGCAAGAAAATGAAGCGCGTTGAGCGGCGCGGAACGTTGGACTCGATGAGTTTGAACGCCCACCTCCACAACCAGCCTTTGGCAATCCGCCCCTCGGGCGCTCCACAAGCGGCCCCAGGCTCGTACACCAACAGGCGCAGCTCGCACTCGGGCTCGGACCGCTCCGTCCACCGGACTGACACCCTCCCCACCCACCCTTCTCACTCGTCGCGCGCCCCCAGCCTGAACGGGCTCTCCTCGAGCGCCGTCTACTCCCAGCAAGATCGCGACCGGGACTACGACCGTGAGAACGGTGCGTCGCCGTATCACCGCTCGTCTCATCGTGGCCCTACCCCGCCCAGCATCGCCACGCTCCCGCGGGACGACTACGACCGCCTCCTCCACCCGTCCTCTGCCCACAAGCCGAACGGGTCGATGGATGGCCACGCGCGGACCTTGTCCAGCCGGTCTGTGAGCCGCTCCCCGCACCCGAAACCCGCAGCCACGACAGAGAACACAGGTTGCGGCTCGAAGTCGTCTGTGTCCGACGCCGATGTGGAGGGCGAGGACGCGGACGATGCCGAGGCGGAGGTGGACGAGGTGGATGACGGCGATGCGGACGCCACGGAGCGCAACACGCTGAAGAAGGAGGACGCATGACTCTCGGACGCCGACACGTCCACGATGCCCGCGCGTCCGTGGAACGAACCTAGAAGAATGACAGCACCGCGGTCGCTTGCAACTCCGCGCGACGAAGCTGCTAGGCTCTGCATGGCACCTTAAGCACTAGGGCGGCGCGTCGTGGTGCCCATCACCTTTCGCGCACACCGACTTGTTGTAGTAGATTGATACTTAGACTAACAGCAATATATCTTTGCTTTGAGATTGCTCAAGGGTGTTTGAGTAGTCAGTGATTAGCTTGCATTACATCTACTTATGTGAATGCGTGCAAATTGGTGATATTGGTTTTTCACAAGTCCTACTTTAGTGCAAATGAGCACTTCCCCAGCTCCATTAGCGCAAAATATGCGGATTACTTCACCATTAGACCATTAGATGGGTATTAGCTCTAAGATTAGCGGTGTTATCACTCATTTGCAAGTGAGGGTTTTCCTGATGCAGCTCCGCTACGGGATCACGATTGGCCTCTGCACCTGCTACCAAGCCCTCTGGATCACGTCGTGGTGTGTTTCTGTTCCCAACAGCTTGGTCATACAACTTCGCTTAAATGACGTCCTCACAGCAGCAGCAACGAACCTCCCTATCACCTCCACCAAACAATTGTCGGCTGACGAGGAGGAGGACAAAGATGAAGAGGATGTCATTGACGAGGCCCTAGGCCTAGTACCCTCGGACCTGCCATCCACGGCGTACGTCGTCGTGCCCTCTGCCAACCCAGGTGGTGTACTCTGCCTCACCCCTCAGCATGTTCACGTCCGGGACACGCTTCGTGTTGCTTTCGAGCTAGTCAGGGAGCATATTCTTGCTGAGAACGCATTCCCGGACACAGTTGATCGACACCAGTTCGTCACTTCGTCCATTCTGCGTGCAGCTCAAACACGAGGGTACAACGGCTTGGCTGGATGGTTTGCGTCGAACCCGGACGTACTCAGATTGTTGGCTCCTATAGTAAGCACCTTCCCTACTGCTATGCAACGGCTAGAGGCCACTGACACACGCCCCAACAGGTTAACCAACGTATATGCTCGCTTCGGAGCGACCTCAAGAAGGCCTCCGACAACCTGGTGGTTGGATTTTTCAAGATCGTTCCTGGTGAGGAGACGAAGCAGCTCGTGAAGTGGTTCCTGCAACACCTCAACTACTCGTACCCTGTTGAGGTATTTTCAGACCGTCGTCATATCACGTACAGTGCTCACACAACATATCGATGTATCTACAGCCAATGCAAGCTAACGTGCCCCGAAACAAACCTTACCAGCACCCGAGCATCGCCGCGATTATAGCCACCGTATTCTTCAAGGGTCGTAAGCCTCACGCCAAGAAGCATGCCTCCGTCTTCAAGTCCACCTCTCCCGATCGTCCTGAGGAGAAGGAGATCCCGTTGACAATGGTCGCTCTCGTTAGCACCGCGGTAAGTTTCCTACCACTCGCTCAATAGCTACACATGCTGATCCAACATTAGATCCACTCCTCGCTCATGGACTGGAGCCAAGGGACCCACCATCCGACCAACTTTACAGCGGACAAGTACCTCGACGCTTACACAGAGCACGTTCTCAACCTCGAGCAAATCAAGGCCCGGAACCCACGAGGCTACCATAAGACAATGCACGGGCTTTATACCATGGCAGGGTACGTTGAACGTCCTCTTCAGAACTCCCCACTCATCGCGTCAAACCAGGGGCAGTACCCCACCCAGGCCTGCCAACATGGACGCCAACGTCGCCATGGTCGACTACGACAACATGGAGGTAGACTAGGTCGCCTTCCAGCCCCTGCAAGTCAAGATACCCAGCCACGTTTCGCTTCCGTTGTCGTTACAGTCGTCTTCTTCGAACCTCCCTCTCACCTTCCGAACCCGGTTTCCCCTCATGTCGACGTACCAGCCACAACGGACCAGCGGCAAGGCACTGTACCGGCATCGACGTACCAGCCTGAACCATCCGCAACATACGTCGAACTACCAGCCTCGCCGTGCCGTCCGCAACATACCAGCTGCCCTGCGTCGTCAAGATACCCAGCCGTCTTTCTCCCCGATGCTGTCTCATAGTAGCCCTTTCTACACCTCCTACTCGTTTACGTCCTCTCAACACATCTGACAGGTCGACCCTCGTCGATGGTAAGAGCTTATCTCCATGCATGCCCTCCGACAAGCTTAGTCACCCTTTCATTCACAGCAAACCCTGTCCTCTATACCTCGTTCCATCACGCTCCCTTAGTTCGTCATTCTCCCATATTGTCGAACGGGACCAGCATCGCTGAACCGGCTCTACATTGCTACCATAGCAGCCCGTCTAACTGCTGCCTCTCCTTCTCCCTGGTCTTCAATACTTCTTCAATTGTAAGCCCCACTGCCTCCAGTATTTAAGGCTGAACTGACCCCCCATATCGAACAGAATCCATGGCCACATGTCGACTCGTCTCTACATGGTTCCCCCGAGTCGTCAACACCTCTCTACCACTAGGCGTCGTCCAAGTCGACCTTAGCCCTCACCGCCCACACTCGCCACGACACTCGTTTGCCTCGCCATATCATGTCCTACTTCTCACCCTCACGAACCACTGTGTTCGTCCGACCCCACGTCGCCAGCATTCGTCTCCGCGTCGCCACCCCTCGTCGACCCGCGTGGACCCCGTATCGATAGTGCTCACCCCTATGTACGTCGTCCTTCTCACCCTCACACCTACCCCCGTTCGCCGGCCCCTTCGTCGCCTGTACTCATCTGCATTACCAGCATCATCCGCGACGACCACGTGGCGGCAGCACTTAGCCCCCACGTTGCGTCGTCCTTCTCACCCTCACGCGGCCCGCCCTGCGTCGCCCGTATTCATCTCTGTCGCCAGCATTTGCGTGGCCTGGGGCGGTCCGGCGCGGTCCCTGCGTGATGGTGTTCACCCCCATATACCGGTACGTCGTCCTTCCCACCCTCACGCTTGCCCGTGTTCGCCCGCCCCTGCATCGCCTGCATTCATATCTGCGTCGCCAGCCTCACCCGCATATCACCCGCGTTGCCCCTCGTCGCCCCCACGTTGTCAGTGACCATTTCCCCCACGTCGCCCACACTCACTCCCATACACCTCGCCGCTTGGTACATCGTCGTAATCCGTCGTAGATGTGTTGTGCTTGAAACCTCACCAAGTCGCTGACGAGTCCATCTGACAGCTGCTGCGCAGCATCCAATCCCTACTCACACATAGTACGTCCTTGCTCTGTGCACGACTTTCCGCATTTGCCGACTACGGACTGGAGCTGATCCCTCCGATAGATCGTAACAGTCAATCCTTCAAGCCGCCTTCGGCCGCATCATTCCTGTGCACCCGCAGGGCGGTGTTGCGCCATAATCTCGAGAGATAGATGCTTGCTGTGCCGTCTCGTTCCTCCTGCCTAGCATACATCTTTTGCAATACCAATGAGTTGTACTCTCCCCCCCTGCGTGAGCCCCAAAGCCTGCCGAGTGCCCGCAAAATGCGCGAACGAGCTCGTATATTGATCTCTATTGATCTCTAAAAAGCTATTATTATGCCTTTTTATTGGACACTAATCCTGCTAATGACCGCTAGCTGTCGGGGGATTAAGCTCATTAGACTAATTTAGAGACATCAACTAATGACGATAATAAGACCTCATTATACTCCATTACATCTCAATATACATCCGGGTTTTCCCTGATGAACGCATCCTCACGGGACGCCGCTTCATTCACTCAAGGCGTGATCGAGGGCTCGGAAAACACGGTTCTCTCACCTCAGCCTTATCTCGATCGAGAAGCCTATAGTCAAGTGAGCGCAAAGCGGTATCCTACCTTTGCGTCACATCGTGAGAGAATATACGACATCTTCGAGAAGTACCGCACCCTCAAAGCGGGAAGCGCACAAATCGACGAAGCAGATAGGTAAAAACACAGCGCCCGCGATATACGATTCGCGACTGACTGCAGAATACTCTAGGACTCATGCGCTCCTCCGTTCAGTTCGAAAACGTCTCCCAGGTGCTCATGTAGATTTCTTGTGGGTCCATCTCGCCTGTTACGGAATTGAGAAGGCTCGCCGCTCATGTAGGAAATAGGTACGTCGATGAAGCACAGGACAACCGCACAATCGACCTGCTGCGTAAGTTCAAAGACTCGCCTATAATATTTCGTCCGTCTGACCGAAATCGTGCTTCAGTTCTTCGAGGCTTGTGCAGAAATCCCAACGGTCTGTTCTGGGCCGGAGATACTGCACAGACAATCGTCGTCGGTAGTACATTCAAGTTTACTGAATTGACGTCGATGCTGCACACATACGAGGTACGTGTCGTGTTGAAGAGGTAAAATTCTTGCTGAAAATATCCACTCTGAAGGGATCCATCGAAGACAGGACGCAACATCAGCCGGAGATGTTCCATCTCGCAGTGAATTATAGATCGAAATCAGGCATCACTGACTGTTCGCGGGAGGTTGTGACCTTGATCTCGAAATTCTGGCCCGGATCCGTCGATTACATGAGGCCCGAGGTCGCGGATAAAGAAGGCGCCAGTCCGCTCTGCATACAGCTCTCCACATTTGATCGCGAATTCTCTGACATAGAGTAAGCGATATCTTTAGCCAACCTATCTCCACTCATTTACTGTTTTACATCTACCAGGCCTCTCAAACTGGGAGCAGATCAATGTAAGATCGAAATCAGTGCCCGTCGAAGTGGCAGTCCGCTAAGTCCACCTTCGCGTATACAGGTGTCATCGTTCGAGACGAAGATCAACGGAGCATTCTCAAAATGAGAGGGATAGTCAGTGGTCTAGTCATGTGAGTTCGTCCCGTCCACAGTCCATTTACCAGGGTATCTGATGTGTTCGTTTCAGAACCGTGTACGACAGCAAAGGACTCGAGTTCGACGACGTGAGCCATCCTATCGTTTCCCGGTTCCGATGTCTCAAACCTTACTGCGTCTAGGTAATCATGTACAATTTTTGCTGTTCAGAGAGACACTCTCGTCGTGACTGGCACCAGGAGTGTTCGACGTACATAAGCTCCGAAAAGCAAGGTTATAACGGAACTTATAGCATTAGTGAAGCCGTTTGTCACGAGGTAAGCACGAGATTCAACTAGAGGCGGCCACTGTCTCATTCAAATTCCTCATTATTGGTAGTTGAAGTGCTTCTATGTCGCCCTCACGAGAGCACGCAACCGTGTGTGGATAGTGGACACCCCTGTCAGCTCGAATCCGCTTCTGGTAAGTGTCGGCCTCCGTTACTCTGGTCTGACGGTGGCTTATCCATGGTAAACAGATGGTGTTGGAAGCGAAGAATTGCGTCGATACTCATTCCTCTGGGGAGCCTCTCCCCTTCATCTCCGAATCAGGCTTCAACCCTCAAGACTGGGTAAAGCGCGGGCACACGATGATGGAGCGCCAGCTATACGAGCATGCGCACTTGTGCTTTCAGCGCGCCTCGCTTCCGCAGGAAAGCAGCCTCGCGTACGCATACATGCTGCGTGAGCGCGCATTCTCTCACTCCGACTGGCGGGCCACCGGCGACGCCTTCAGGTCGTACGCCAAGGAGTATTGCACCGGGCACGCCGGCAACACAAACTTAGCTGTATTCCTCAACACTGCGGCGGAGTGTTACGCGCGGGCCAACGCACACAAGGACAGCGCCGAGGCCTACCTCGCGACTCGCGATGTCGGCAAGGCCTGTCAGGTTTACTGCAATGCCGGGATGATGGAGGAGGCGCGCTCTCTGATCCTCGCACATCGTAGGCGCATCCCGCACGACATCTTCACTCGGGTGTGTCTCTTCTTCTTCCGAGATCGGACCGACGCATTCAGGTGAGAATTGAAATGGCCTTGGTCGCGCGCGAACATGTTTTTACGTTCCACAGGAGAGCTGTGGAGATGTTCTCAACGCCTGCCGCCGCCGTCAAGTTCATGGAACAAGAGCCTTCTCTACGGCCTACCCTAGCGGACTACTACGAGGCGAAAGGAGAGCACTCTCACGCTGCGCGCATTCACGAAGAGCTCGGACACACTCTGCGGGCCATCGATCTGTACGACAACGGTGGTCCTGAAGATCAGCAATCCATAAACGCAGGAACCCGCCTTCTGAAGCATGTTTTGGCGACGTCAGTCACAATTGGACTCGAGTCCGACCTCATCAAACGAGAAGGTCCATTATCGGTATATTACGATCGCGCGGAGGCCAGGATCTCGAAGGACTTCCCTGCATCCGTTGCACAAGAAGATAGGGAGCTGGTGAGCCGGATTGTCCGCGCTGATTGACTGAGACTGATACCTTTTGTATCTAGCTCAAAACCTTCCTAGCGATATCTCACGGACGACACACCGAACTCTTCAAGCTCGGGACTTTCTTCTACCGCTCTGATCGTCCTGATGCGGCGCTTCTCGCGCTGGACTACGCCTGGACTTACCTTCGAAGACTGAACGACCTCAATCTCACTGACCACTCGGTGGCAGTGCTGTAGCCCGTCGGTAACGCCCATACGAGGTGCCCGCGTTGCCGTCGGTAACGGCCATACGAGCTCGTACGAGCTCCGGTAATGTAGCCGTCGGTAACGGTCGTACGAGATGTGGGGGGCAGGTAGTTCCCCTTGATAGCTTAGTGCTTTTCCAACTCTCCTACATACCCTAGTACATTATAATTGGTACAACAACAATGAAAACGATATTCTACAGCCCCTGGGAAGCCAATACCGGGCTGATACAGCAGGGGACGTCGGCTCCGGTAGTGGCACGTCCCACTGCGTACATTGCGCCCTACTGCACC